GTGTGTGTGTGTGTGTGTGTGTGTGTGTGGTGTGTGTGTTGTGTGTGTGTGTGTGTGTGTGTGTGTGTGTGTGTGTGTGTGTGTGTGTGTGTGTGTGTGTGTGTGTGTTTTTGTTTGCTTGTGCTGGAGAACCAGGGGTCAGTAACAGAAACCTTCTGCCGTGGTGCTTAACAGCTTGTCGCTCCGTTGCGAAGGGCCTGAGGCGAATGTCGAGTAAGGCGGTGGATGCTGCTTAGGACTCTGCCCGCGGCTGGAGCCGCTTCAACTTCGCCTTGTTTTTTTTATCTTTCGCTTGCTGCTGCTGAAAGCAGGTGCAGCATTTGCACCGAGCTGTCTTGCCTTTCTACCCCGATGCACAGCTTTCAGGTTTCAGCAACACTGGCAAGGACTGACGGAGTGAACTGCGTTCCGGACCTGCAAACTGAAAGTAGACGCTGCCAACACGGACAGTGACTACTTGCATCCACTACGTGAGCTCTTCTCTTTCCGAATCGCATAGCTGCACATAGCTCACCGCCACCCGCATGGGCGTGAATTCGCAGCTTCGCTGTCCGGCCCGCAGGACCCGCTGTGCCATGCGGCTCGTCAGAAGAGAACTTTGGCGTGGCGATGTTCACAATCCATACCATGAGCGCTTGATGTTAAAGGGTGACAGGCAAGCAGCACACTGGATGCGCTCCTGTGTCTTCTCAACGCCACAAGAGCCCGACAGGACAGTAGTGCCGTAGAAGGTGCACTACATATCACTACGTCTGATGGCAGTTGCTATGCTAAGGCTGCCTTTCTTGTACCATGACATTTGGAGATTGAGTGCACGAGCATCGACCCAAGCCGGATGCAATGTCTAAGCCTCCTGCTTGCGATCCTTCTGCGCACAACAACTAGTCACTCCTTTCTGCATGATTGTCGCCATAGTTCAGAGACAGATCTTGCACTGGGGTATTTTGCAGCATTTCGAGGCATATCCTGCTACTGTGACAGTGGCCGGTGTGAGCTGCTGGGCTGGTGAGCATTCATTCGGATTCGGGGTGAAGTTTTGAAGACGGGGTTCTGTGGCTTCAGGTTGACACTCTCGCTTTGTTTCCCTCCTGCCACTGCCTTTGAAGCCATCCCATGGGGCAGGACTGACCCCTGGCGTGCGCGAAGGGGAAACCTAGGACGTAAGGGCCTAGAGCTCGGGTTTTTGAGCTTGTTGAGAGTCAGACGTAAGGCTGAGGCTCTCTTCAAGATCACGTGTGTCAAGCTTGTGACGCAATTTCTCGCCCAGAGTAGCATAGCACAGACGGCATTGAGCTTCACAGCTCTAACCCTGAATGCCGCTTAAAGGCCCGCCGGGTGGGAAGAGGCTAGCTGAAAACTGTGCTGCTGGCGACCGTCCTTGCTGAGTCGATGCAGACCAGCTGTAACATGTTGCAGGACCTCGTACCAGTCGTCGGAATCCTTCAAGACTTTCGTCGACGTGGCAAACATCAATCCCAACAGCACATTTCATCCGTTTGTCAACATAGTTTGATAGCCAATGCTTTCAAGAATGACGTCCTCGAAACCGTCACAGCAGCACTGTAGAAAGGTCCGCATCCTCGTTGTAGGAATTGCAAGCAGCAATTCTGGTCTGGAGTTCCGTGGTTGCACGATTCAGTGCTGAAGCCTGAGTCAGCCTACCGCAACCTACCCACTAGGTACACATGCAGGGACACAGCCACATCCAGGTGTGCTTGTATATATATATATGTATAAAATAGCATAATACAGGCCCCGGTGGTTGGTGCTTGTCGCGAGTTGTGGATTTCAGAAAACCACGTCCTGGGGGCCTTTTTTTTTTCCATTTAGCAACCGTATCTTCGTACATCGTAGCACTTTCAGAACATCACTAGTACTTGTAATCATATTTCTCAAAGCTCCGGTGTGCTGTGAGGACCCCTACACTACAGGGATTGAGATTCTGGCCACTGTAAAAGCAGAGGGTCTGGGGGTCTGGATCCGGTCCGGGGGGGCGGGGGGGGAGGGGGGGGGGAGTTGTTTGCCTCTTCGCCGGGACCCTGGGGCTGCCTGGAAGGTTCCCGGGGCTGGGGGGTCAGCTAACCTACTCTTCAATGTTCTGGCCCAGCAACAAACCTCTATGATAAACATTCTTAAAGAAAACGAAGGAAGATGCGCGTAAACATTTACATCTATACCAGTACTTTCAAGACGAGTAGACGGAAACTCATGAAAGCATATTCCTTACTAGATACTCCAAATATGCATACATTACCTATGTATCAATGACAGGTGTAGACATATGTAGATTGTGTTTATGCATAATACCGCTTTGCATCTGTATCAGTATTCATTTGTACAGACGGACAGGCTTGCGATCCAACAAGGGCTCATTAGAAGGCCAATGCCATCACATCAAAGAGAAGCAGCAGACTCGGAAAGCCGGAAGTAGTCAAAGAGCATGATCCATGGCAAACCCAGCTGAATCCTAAAGATAATGTGGTAGCAGAAACCCCAAACTATGGAACCAGGCAATAGCCCTGCAAGCCGGATATTCTAAAGGAGACCATGGGCCAAGCCCACATATGAGATGATGAGTGCGGCAGAGTGCGACATCCAAACTGCTGCAATAAGTGGATGCCAAGGATAGCTGTTGATAGGGCTGCATGATGCCCAAACCATCCCCGAACCCAAGACAGACATTGACTCGTAGGCCTCTTCGAGTGGAGATGATGGGTGGCAAACCCCAAACCCTGTAAAGAATGGCTGGGTCCTCAAAACTTTATAAACCAAAAGGCGCTAATGACCTCGCACATGCTTAAACATCTGTCTGGCAGTCTGCATATCAGCATCGTTGATAGTGGCTTCCCGCAGGCAATAGATATAATATACAAAGAATGTATAAGACAGTGCTGGGTATTTACATATAACGGCATAACTTTATGTAAACAAGCACATACACACACTCATGCAGCTTGGATTCATGCAAACCAATCTCTCTGGATCCATACTAGTCCAAATACTGTGAATGCTGCGGATTAAATACCCAGTCAAATTATAGCTGTTGTTGATGTTGGACTGGGCCGATAGCCATCCGAGTTCAGTTCGTTATTGCGGGCCAATACCCATGTAAATTCAGTTTGCTGTTCTTGTGGGTCAATACACATCCAAATCTAATTTGTTTTTGTTGTTGCGTTTCGATACTTATCAAAAATCAGTTTCATGTTATGGGCCTATACCCATCCAATTTCAATTTGTTGTTCTTGTGGGTCGATACGCATCTAAGTTCAGGTGTTGAGGTTCGATACCTTGCTATAATCAAGTTGAGTTATCATGGCTCAATACCTCTCCAGTTTGTACTTAGTGATATCGGAATTCAATACCAATCCAAATTAATGTCTGGATGTTAGGGTCAACAACCTCCTCAGTTCACAAAATTCATTTGGGTCGTCACCTATTTAATTTATGTGTTGTTGGCTATGGGCCAATACACATCTATATTAATATTCGTGTTGGTGAGGCTCGACAAGAAATGAATTGGTGCTGAGGGTCGTCGTTTATGTCGTGGATGAACACCCATCCAACTTCAATTAGTTCTTGCCTTCTTGTCAATGCCCATCCGAATTTCCTTTTTGGTAGGGCATGTCAATATCAATTCAATATTTTGGGGGGTCGTGACCTCTCCATATTCAAACGGTCATACATACATTTAGAATCATTGTAATGATATGGTGAGTCCATACCATCGGAGATCAATTTGATGTTGCTGTTGGGCAAAAATCTGCAATGTTTTTGATGGGTCAATATCGATTCAGAACTCATTTTTCGTTTCTGAGAATCAATACAATTTTTTCAGTTTCTTGATATCATAGGTCCTTATTTTGGAAGGAGTTTAAAACATCTCAAAAAAACACGTGTTTTACTCGAAAAACACGGGCATTCATTGCGCTACACCCTCCAGAAACCAATGAATATATATATACATATACATGCATATGTTCCCCCCCCCTGTACTGTGGTGTGCTTGCGGTGGGTCACCGCTGCATGTTGGGGTCTGCTTGGGGTGTTTGGGGATTTGGTCTGTCTGGAACCGGGC